TGGAGAAGATGGAATTCCAGCTGAGCTATTTCAAATCCTAAAAGATGATGTTGCAAAAGTGCTGCACTCAATATGCCAGTCAGCAAATTTGGAAAACTCAGCAGTGGCCACAGGATTGGAAAAGGTCAGGTTTCATTCCAATCCCAAAGAAGGGCAATACCAAAGAATGTTCAAACTGCCATACAATTGCACTCACTTCACATGCTCAAAATCCTTCAAGCTATGCTTCAGCAGTACATGAACCGAGAAATTCCAGATGTATAAGCTGGGTTTTAAAAAAGCAGAGAAACCAGAGGTCAGATTGCCAACATCCACTGACCACAGAAAAAACAGCAGAATTCCAGAAAAACATCCACTTCTGCTTCAGTGACTATGCTAAAACCTCTAACTATGTGGATCACAACAAACTGGAAAATTCTTCAAGAGATGGGAATACCAGACCATCTTACCTATCTCCTAAGAAGTCTGTTTGCAGGGTAAGAAGCAACAGTTAAAACCAGACAAGGAACAAGTTTTATTAAAGGCAAAATGAGGACTGTAGCCCAAGAGCTATTTCAGATAGCTCTGAGAAACTGCTCCACAGAGTTTGGGGAAAGGTCAGTGATTTTGGTGAAGGGGAAGTACATGTAATCAGGCACATATATTTTGCTGAAAGTTGATGCTAGTCTCCTAAAAATTACTGCTAGTCACGAGGAGCAGATGTCACCATGAAGGGTTTTAATGCTTTTCTAGACACGAGGAGATGCAAGAATTGGGCTCATAAAATCTTCTGAAAATCTCTAGCTGAAGACCTGTTCTGCCAGTTTTTCCCAGATCACACAGTGCCTCATTTCTATCTCCACCCTGAACTCCTTTCAGGGAATGTTGAAGGTCAGCAGCTGCAGCAGCTCATGATTTAATCCTTGTGGAGGCAGATGGCTAGTGCCAGTGTGTAGTTGGCATAACAATATCTACCTTATAGGGTTATCATAATAACTGAATCAAACTTAAACAATACATGCTTGTAGGGTTATTCATATGTAAAAGGATGAGAACAATACCTAGTACCCTGTAAGCACTTCACAAACACTGGCTATGAAAGCACAGAAATAAGAGCAGGAAACCCTAGTGGGTGAAGGAAGATGCAGTTTAGAGGAAAGTATATCTAAACCCAAAGAAAAATCTGACCTCAAAGTCAAAAGGAAACATTCAGGGTGTTTTTATGTTCTCTTTTGTCAAGAACTATAGCGAGTGTGATGCAACCTTCATGTTGTATTTGACATAAAGTATCAGTCTTCTTAGAGAGAAACCTGATTTTAAAATGAAGTCAAAACATCTAATAATGAAGCAGAATACATACAGACATGTATTTTCTTAGAAAATAGACTAAATGGCACCTGGTTCTATAAATCATTGAATTTGTAAAATAATCTGCAATTATTTACATATTTCCAGTAATACCTAAAGAGGGTTGTGGATGAAATTATTCTTTAAAAATCATTCCCACTGAAGTAATCTACTTGAAGTAGGTCATCCTGTTTCCTTTATTAGTGAGCCAAGATTTCTGCAAGGACCATTTACTTCAGCTCTGCATTTTACCTGTATCTGGTTTATCTGTCTTGGCTATAGTTATAGTGAAACTTTCATCGATACTCACAAATCAGCCACAATTTCCCTGTGGCAATTTACAGCTGACTGCTACCTATAAGTTTTGCAGCAGAACCCACGTGAAAGTCCCTCCCTCTCAGCTGCGGGATCATCCCTCACCTCAGGTTAAGTCCTGATGAACAATCTGAAGAGCAGCATGTCAAAACCTATCACTTGCGTGCTCCTCTGGGTGACTGAGTCATGGCCTCACCGGTAAGGCCTTCTTCACCAAGTCCAGGTCTTAGGGCTCTGGCTCCACGAACCAGCAGGGCGACAAGAGCAATATTACAAATCACATAGGCGTGTTTTATGTTAGGATCAGAAAAACCTGACTTTCTGAAAGTTTCTGTGCTTTTACTCAGTCTCATGGCAACACTCAGCTGAATGTCCAGGATGCACCAAGCGTTAGAGCTGGAAGGACTGCCGTCACTGCTGCAACTGATAACAACATTGCTGGTCAGTTCAGTTCAGTCGCTCAGTCGTGTCTGACTCTTTGTGACCCCATGAATTGCAGCACGCCAGGCCTTCCTTGTCCATCACCAACTCCCGGAGTTTACTCAAACTCATGTCCATCGAGTTGGTGATGCCATCCAGCCATCTCATCCTCTGTCATCCCCTTCTCCTCCCGCAATCCCTCCCAGCATCAGGGTCTTTTCCAATGAGTCAACTCTTCACATCAGGTGGCCAAAGTATTGGAGTTTCAGCTTTAGCATCAGTCCTTCCAATGAACACCCAGGACTGGTTGGATCTCCTTGCAGTCCAAGGGCCAGAGAGGTTGCTAAGTTAATGGGTTGCAATACTAGGTCTCAGAGCACCTCTTCAGTCTCTCAGCCCAGTGCTCTTCCTTATATCTTAGTCTCTCATGGTCATGTCCTTTTTTGTTTCATTATATAGTTAGATATGCATAACTGTAATTTAATAGATACTACCAAGAGATTGTATATCTATATGTGACAGTGTATGCACCCACCCTGAAATGCTCATTTTTTAAAAATGTTTTTCATAAAATCTGAATTGAATGAAATATCATATAGGAGATCTTATAACTGCCAACTGCCAGCTAGGTAAGCTTGCGCCACAAGCACAGTCAAGGTTGTGAGCTGTGTTTAACACCCTGCTTTCTTGCGTTGAGCTGGTTGTCACATGCTGTCGATGCCATCTGGATGCATCATAAGTTTGTGGTGATTTTGCAATAAACACATAGTAACTATAATGTAACCCAGAAGCAGAATGACTGTAAAAAAAATAAATAAATAAGGTCAACTTTTAAAATGAAATCTATCCTTACCTGAAATTTCAAGTTGAGAAATTCAAATATATTATTGATATCTGACATTAGTGATTGAACATGAAAAATTAAATAAAGAAAAGAGGTCATTTCCTAAAGAGGTCAGTATGGACATACACATGCACACAGACACACATGTTCACTTGGAGAGTCGCCTTGCTAGGTTTGCAGGGCTCCATGAATGACAGCCTGTGAGGGCAGCAGTTGATAAAGTTCATCTGTACTTTGCTCTCTTCATCATCCTGTCTCCAGAGTTTTTGTCTTCAGGTTTCCCTTTTCTTTTTAGCACCCAGCTTAGCATTCCTACTTGGATCTGGTCCCTGATGCACCCTGGAATCTCACATTCAAGGGGCCAACACCTTACTCAGAAGGACACTTCTGAGTCTCTGCATAGTCATTTGTATTACATACCACAATAGGACTTGGGCAAACCACCAGCTAATGACCAAATCCCAACAGAAAATGTGAAGTTTGAATTATTTTTAAAAAGAGCATGATTTTTCCTTTCAATTTGTCTGTAAAGACCCACTTTTAACTTAAGGAAGTTCTTGCATAACCCTGCTTTTTTGGCCAGAATGACCAATCCAATATATCAGTTCAGTTCAGTTCAGTCGCTCAGTTGTGTCCAACTCTTTGTGATCCCATGAATCGCAGTACGCCAGGCCTCCCTGTCCATCACCAACTCCAAGAGTCTACCCAAACCCATGTCCATTGAATCAGTGATGCCATCCAGCCATCTCATCCTCTGTCGTCCCTTTCTCCTCCTGCCCCCAATCCTTCCCAGCATTAGGGTCTTTTCCAATGAGTCATCTCTTCACATGAGGTGGCCAAAGTATTGGAGTTTCAGCTTCAGCATCAGTCCTTCCAATGAACACCCAGGACTGATCTCCTTTAGGATGTACTGATTGGATCTTCTTGCAGTCCAAGGGACTCTCAACAGTGTTCTCCAGCACCACAGTTCAAAAGCATCAATTCTTCGGCACTCAGGTTTCTTCACCGTCCAACTCTCACATCCATACATGACTACTGGAAAAACCATAACCTTGACTAGACAGACCTTTGTTGGCAAAGTAATATCTCTGCTTTTAAATATGCTATCTAGGTTGGTCATAACTTTCCTTCCAAGGAGTAATCCAATATATAAAATATTTCCTTCCAAGGAGTAATCCAATATATAAAATATTTCTAATATGAAAATATCTCTACTTTATTATATGCATGTATTATTAGACAGCTAAGATTCCTAGATTATACTGAAAAGGCCAATGCAGGTAAGTATTTGACAAAGATACTGGAAGTAAAATTGGATTAGGGGTCAGGCATCTAAAAATATATCTATCTTAGGGTTAAGTTTCTTTATCTATACAGCAAAGGCATTGGGTCAGAATTTCTTTTGTTTCTACCCATTCGCTGCTTTATCTCCTTCATTAGCCATAGTAATGTTAACCTAACTCCTCTTTCTCATCCTCTTTAAAACACAAGTGAGGGATAATGACTTGAATTATCCAGGGAACTATTTAGATCTGAAATATAGTGAAGGCTAGCAAACACATCCCAAGACGCCTTCTGGCTCTGAGAATGAATGGCTGAGTATAAAGCATGGATGATGAAGGACAGAGATACGCTCCCAACAGTCAAAACAATGCTCACTAAGAAAACTGCAGTACAAGGAATTTAATCTTAAAACTAAATATTAATGATGTTATTATATTTTTCTCCCAAGAAGGAAGAGGAGGAAAAGAAGGACAGAAGGAAGGAAAGAAGGAAGGTAGGAAGGAAAGGAGTCAGGCAGAAGGAAGGAAATATGTGAGTGTCATTAAACTCTTTTCCATCAGAGGAAAGATTAATGTAATGAAACCACTGCAATGAGAAGCCTGTGCAACACAGTGAAGAATAGCCCCTGCTCACTGCAACTAGAGAAAAGTCTGTGAAGCAACAAAGATCCAGCACAGCCAAAATAAATAATCTTAAAAAAAAAATTATAAAAAGTAATGCCCCAAATAGAAAATCTCTTTTTCAACTATCAAAACATGCAAAGTTGAACCTCTGTTTTTCTTCACTCGTCAAAAGAGATGCAGTTTATTACCTTCAAAGTCCACATCTCCAACGAGTTTTGTCTTTCCTGTGATTGGGTCATGGATATAGTTGATACCAACGTCAATTACAGCGGCACCTTCCTTAACCATATCAGATGTGATCAACTTTGGGATACCTAGAAGCGAAACAGAGTTGTAAAACACTGGAAAATACTTAAACTTTGTCCTTGAGAATAACAAGGATTTATACATCTGGTATTTTTGTTGTCATGGAAAGGTAGCACATGAGGGTGTCGCTGGGTGAAATTCTGCTAGGGTTTACCCTTTCACCTTAGAGACTGCTTACAGACTTCAAATGGACCCAGCTTGAGCAGCCTCCTTTTGTATCTCATGTACTATAAATATCATGGGGAGATTATGGAGATAAAACAGGCTTCTGTTGAGGGTGAGTGTAGTGGAGTGAAAACAACTTGGAAGATGGAGGCAGAGACAAGGAAGTGAGGAGGGAAGGAGGATAAAAAATACAAAAACTGAAGATGGTACTATTCATATTTCTCAGTGTTGTGGTAAACTGCAAAGTGCCGTGCACAAAGTAGTATCTTATCACTTCCAAACATGAAAGACTATCCTGCTTTGATTTTTTCTTGGTTTCTTTGATTATCACATCTGCATATAACTTGGAATGGTAAGAAACAGTACATTCTACTTAGTGTTTCCCTATTTGAATTTGAAAGATAGTTCTACAGAAATGTGATGTCACCATCTATTTTTTTTAACTCTTTTCAAATTTTATTTCAGGTGCAACAGTGCCAGCTAACAATGGCTAGTGCTCCCTATTTTTTTTTTTTTGCTATGAGTTAACAAATCATTCCTAAACTCAGTGTCTTAAACCAACAACTTATTTTTATTTCCCACAGTTGTGTGAGTTGACTGAGCTCAGCTGGATGGATCTTCCTGGGGGTCTTTCATATAAATGGGGTCAGTTAGTGGCTGCAGTTGGAGGCATCTCAACCTGTGACATTGCTGGTTGTCCGAGGTGCATTCACAGGCCTGCAGTTGAGCTCGTCTGGGGATGCCGACTGCAGCTTATAGATGTGGCCTCTCCACGCAGCTCAGACTTCTCCCAGCCCTGCATCTGGCTTCCAGGAGCACGTGTTTCAAGCGGCAGGAAATAGAAGGTGCCCAGAGCTCGAGGATGGAACCTGGAGACTAGCACAGTGTTGCTTCTGTCATATTCTATTGGTCAGCCAGTGACAGAATCCACTTAGACTGAAAAGGAGGGGTAGAGATGTGGCTTCCCAGTGGGAGGAGAATCAGAGAATTTGTGTCCATCTTTATTCCATCAGAATGCCTCTGGATGACACTGTGTCTGGAATGTGATTTACTCATTTTCACACTACATCCCTTAACCAGAATAGGGTAATCTGTTTTGCATCATCAGAGGCTGTCTTCTATCATCTAAATATCCAGATGCTTTAAATGTCATCTTGTGACATATGATTTTTAGTGATAGTAAGAATTAAAAGGCTAAAAAGACAGTGCCAAAATAGATGCAGCTAGCTGACAAGGTTCCTCAGCCACACCAACGATACAACCAAGATGGTTATCAGTGCTTGAAAGAGATTTTTTCTCTTGCTTTCCTATCCTGTCCCAGAGAACTTCTCCCTTTTTATCAGTTCTAGCATAGATATTGAGTAATGCTTCAAATAAAGTCATAAAATCCTGTATATTCTTGGCAGGCAATAGAAAAAGAAACCATAAGTGATTATGGCAGCAGGAAATAGTTTTAAAATTAAAATGACAATGAAGTAGTTATTAAAATCCAGGTACTATGATTTTGGGAAAGATCCAGCTCTCCCTTTCAATTAGGACCATTCAATTCAGTATCTCAATGAATATCAATTGGCAGTGGTCAAATACACAGTTTTCCAAAGCGAGGGAAATGTGAGCTTGATTTTAATTCTCAGGAAAATTACAAAATGGAAAACAACTGAATGCATGCTTTTTTTTTTTTTTATGATGATCATGTTACATATGTCCATTGCAGAAAATGTCAAAAATATCTAAAAGTTTAAGCTGAAAACAAAAATCACTATAATCTTGCCATCCAAAGATAATAAGTGCATTTTTATTGTGTTTGTTTCTAGGATTTTGAAATGCTTCTTCATTAGGTATAAAGCCTATAAAAAGATATATAATTTTGTTTGTATTGTGCCTCATTGTTTATCTTTGAATTAAAATTAAACTGTAAGCATTTTCTTATTTCATCAATTATTTAAAATTTAAAAACCACAGAAATAATTTATTATGTAAATTACCATAGTAAGTTATTCATTCCTGCAGTCTTTTCAATACTTTGCTCTCATAAATAATGCAGTGATGATCATTTGTGTTCAGGAAACTATGATGATTTCTTATCTGCAGCAGCAAGTTTGACAGTTTTTCACTGAACCCTTATGATGGGATTCAGTGAAACATGATGGAAAAACATGGGTTGAATAAAAACTCTCAATGGTAGTCATGACTGGTTAAATAATACATTCTGAAACAGTTTATCAATGCATCTATAAAGAAGGTCTTCCATGAAAAGTATCTTTCCGTGCCATTTTCAAATTTTGTGAGAACTTGGAAGAATGCATTGGCATCACAATAGTTATTTTATCTTTGTCCTCCTCCAGGTCCATTTTCCACCCTTCTCTGCTCTACTTTATGGCAGGGATGGGACTGATTCTTATAGAGGTCTTGTGTGTTTCCTCTTTCTCTTGGAACCCTGTCACAGCCATGAGAACAAATACAAGCCTCCCTGCTGGCAGATCCAAATCCTGTGAAAGAGAGCTGAGTTGTTTCAGGGAAGCCATCCTAGTCCAGTCATCTAGCCAACCACCAGCTGAAGGCAGATGTTTGAACAAGCCAAGTCATGGTCAGAATATTTGAGCTAAGGTCACCATAATTGACCAGCTGAACCATGCAAATGAGAAATTTATTTTAAAGGGTGGTTGTTTAAATTGAATGAGTTTGGGGGTGTTTGGTTGTTTTTTTAATACAGCAAAAGTTGCATAATACATATTAACAAATGACACAAAATTGGACAGAATAGCTAGTAAGTAGCTACTTTGGAATAGTGGACTATCAATAGCCATAAGAATTTGAAAGAGGTTCTGTATATAATTCTGACCAGCTGGGTGTACTTGATTAAAAACTCACTAAAAACTATTAGGTTGTTCCAAGACAAATAATGTCCAGATACAGGGATATAACATTTTCCACTATATTTTTAGCAGTTTCCTCTGAAAATGTTGGTTGTATTCTGGAGGCTGATCTCAAGAAGAATGATGAGAATGGATCTGGAAATCATGTCATATGGAACAAGTGCTATCAAACTAGTTGGTTCAACTGTTTACCCATCAGGTTGTGACAAGAAGAAAAAGTTTATGCCACAATGTATATCAACTATATCAGTAAACATGCCTTTAAATTCAGCTAGCTTTAGTTTTTCATAGAATTTTTCAATGACAATAGCAATATGTTTTTTTCTTTTTTTTTGCAACTAATTGCATATGCTGCAACTAGTTGTCCCGTGACATGTAGGATCTTAGTTCCCTGACCAGGGATTGAACTCTTGTCCTCTGTATTGGCAGGCAGATTCTTAACCACTGGACCATGAGGGAAGTCCCAGTATGCTGATTTATATTCTGCCACAGTTCTTTATGTTGATGTGGATCTATAACTTACAGTTCCCAAAGGGTAAGGAACAGCCATGGGTTAGTATTGGTCCATACATTGAATATCTCTGAAACAGAGGAATGGTTGAATAAACTCAAGTTGCCTTTCTTAGGGGGAAAAAAAAGTAAAACCTAAAAAACTAAAAATAATCAAAACCCAATAATTGTGTCTTCAATGTGTTAAACTGTATAGGAGTTGATTTACTTTATATATTTTCAGAAGGAAGAATGAAGGGACAAGGAAGGGAAAAGATTTTAACTCAATACAGAGAATATTTTAAGAATAATAAGCCACAAAGAGAAATACTGTCCTTATTCGCCATTAGAAATATTCACAATAGGGCAAAGATGAGATTGAATTGGGAAAGTTAATGATGCTTTCAAATTTTATGATTTAAAGATTTTCTTTTGTCTAATTAAAATATTTTTTTTTCTTTCTTCTCTCAAGTAATTAATTTCTGAACCCTTGCAGACTTCTGACCCTGTCATTCTGCTAAACAAAAGAAAGAAATAATACAAATTGTACTTAACAGTTGAAATGATAACAAATAGGCATATATGATACCTACTTCAGATATGTTAAATAAGTTGTCCACTGACATTGTTGTCTCGTAGAAACAAATGACTGGAAATAAAATTGTCCACTAATTGTGCCTTAAAAGACACTGAAAAGAAATTTCTTAGACATGAGGTATTCGGTTCCCCAAATAAACAAATGCATTGTATTTAAATTAAATTATTATCATTTGATAAAGTGACATATTAAAAACTATTTAAACATTTGGAAAAGACTTTCAGTTTAGTTCAGTTCAGTCACTCAGTCATGTCTGACTCTTTGCAACCCCATGGACTGATTTTAGATATTAGTCTAAAAAAAAAAGACTTTAGATACTAGTAGAATGTGAAGTCAGAAAAATTTTTTGTTTTTTTGTTAAAGTTGAAAATGAACAGTAGTTTCAAGTGAACATTTTCTATGAGCTTTTTATCTTTTTGATGTGATAGTTCCATAGAAACCTATCCTTAATTCTTATATAATTTGAAGACTCAAGCATTATATGTGAGAACCAAAACCATCCACATCCACATAACTTATTCTATACATTAACATAAGTTTTATTTCACTGTTTTTATCAACACAACTTTATTACTCTAGGGAAGTCTTACTCAGAAAGATAAAAGTTTTAAGCAATTTTATTGTCTCAAGTACACACCAAAGGCCTTTTTTTTTCATTTATTTTTATTAGTTGGAAGCTAATTACTTTACAATATTGTAGTGGTTTTTGTCATACACTGACATGAATTAGCCATGGATTTACATATATTCCCCATCCCGATCCCACCTCTCATCTCCCTCTCTACCCGATCCCTCTGGGTCTTCCCAGTGCACCAGGCCCAAGCACTTGTCTCATGCATCCAACCTGGGCTGGTGATCTGTTTCACCCTAGATAATATAC